GCTAGAAAAGGAAGCTAAGGTTATAAAGTAATGCCTAAGCAACGATCATCCAATCAGAAATGCCCCTTGATGCCCCCTTTTTTTTCTCGTCCAATCAGGAGAGTCCATTGAAAAAAGTTCTTCCAATCAGGTGTGGCCTTTGAGAAACACCTACTTTTTCTGCTGACATACTTACTTGGCTATTGCTGGGTTGCAGTCGACTTGTTTCTGCCCGGGTTAGGAGTGACTTGTGCTGTTTAACGTCATTAGCCTATGATAACAATGCTATTGCTAACGCTAACGAGTTAACCCCTGTTATTTATGTTCTTGGATCTACTTGTTAATAATTTATTTAGCTTCTGATACGAAAATATCTGAAAATACGATTTGAACGATATAATCCTCACCTGTTTTTAGCCGTAGATTGTTGATCCACTTTTGTCGCTTTTTTCTGACACACTACTTTCCAAACACAAAAAAACATTACATTTCTCCTGATTGGAGCGGAYGTTGATRCTACGTCATCTACAACCCAGCAACYGCTGACTAGTTGAAAACATGAAACTTGCCAGGAGTTTGCGTACACATCAAGCTAATTTAGTGTCTTATTAGCATCTCAATGTTTTCGCAGTTTATTTGCCATTTTATTCCCAGTCATGTCCCCGCCTCCAGTGTTTGAAGCACGGGCTATGGTTTTGCTTAAACCTAAATGTGTAGCAATATATGTGATCAGTACTTGGAAACAAGTAACAAACCCAAACGTCTGCCGCTCTGCACGGCTGTTTGTGAAGAAAATGAAACTGACCTCAGCTGACAGTGGGAGAATCACTGAACCGAAACAGAGTTGTTATCTTTGTTTTGACTTGGACAGTAAGAATGTAGAAATCCACAAATGTTTCGGTTGGGGGATAGACTTTAAACACATCAGCTTATCTTTACACGCCTATTAGATCATGTTTTCTGTGGTTTTAAATGACGTGTTGTGTTTTTATTTTTTTTTATTTTTTGACAGAGCCGTAAACTGGACACCTGTGAGCTGAGCGACTCCAGCATCTCAGCTGAGGTTGCGGAGAAAATGGCCAAATTCCACGGCATGAGGATGCCCTTCAACAAAGAGCCCAAGTGGCTGTTTGGAACCATGGAGAAGTGAGTTGTTGCCGTTTCTGCATCGCTTTGTGTTTAACGGAGAATTCACACGGTTCRGTCAGTCAGTAACCAACTGTTAATAACTAAAAGACAAATATGTGGAAGGTTGACCCGTCAAGGTGATTTTCCTTTTGAACTATATTTGCAAAGCTGCAGGCGAGGTTGATGTTGCGTCACGTTTGTCAGCTTGTGGTAATAAAGTCTGTCCACTGGCTGTTTGTAAAGACACATACAGCGGGTAAAATAAGTATTGAACACGTCAACATTTTTCTCAGTAAATATATTACTAGAGGTGCTAATGACATGAAATTTTACCAGATGTCGGTAACAACCCAAGTGATCCATACATACAAAGAAATCAAACCATAAATGTCCATAAATGTTCTCATGGGCTGGGGGGTAGGGTAGGCTGGGGGCGTGACATGGAGCTAGTG